CAGAAAAGTCACTAGAGACTATTCTGCAAAGCTTAGAAAATCTGTAGAATCAAGACGAAATAGATGGTTATCCTGATTATATTACTGGAGAAAAAATTGTATATTTGAAGGGTCAATGATGTGAAAATCTGTAGGAGATGTATATATTTGAAAGAATTGGAACCTTTGCTTGTGTGGCTAGAATGTGGGATCCAGCTTCTGGTCCATAACTGCAGTAACACGATATCAATTCATAAACGACCTTTCCAATCTGTCTGATTTTGCTTAGAAAAGTTGCAAACTGAAACTTTTACGGTTGAGAAATATGACTTGCCTCTCTATCATAGTAGTTTAGAAGGGCTCATATGATGACATTTTTGCAATATTTAAAGGTTTCACGATTGAGAATGCTGCATTTATTAAATAAGTTCCAAGTCTCAAGAACTGAACCTTGTAAAGTGGAAATATTTACTGCTTGCTCAAGAGTCAAAATTCGAAGAAAACCATAAGAGTTGATTCTTCTTTGAGTGCTAATTTGGCTAGAGTCAGATCCACGACCATAAAGATGAGAGATTAAGAAAAGACAGGACATAGCAAAGTAAAGAAGATTGTTTTTGTTAGCACTGTTTACCACTTATGGATGGCACGTAATATGGGAATTTTTCAGGATTTAAAACCAAATGTTGCAGGCATCATTAATATGATCAAAACACACGTATACAAAGCTATGTTCACGTTGTATCCGTATGTTTTGATTCAATATGAGTATTTTGCAATTGACATTTAGATCTCTTGTTTTGTTCATCGTCTCATGTTGTAATTAGCAATTAGCCCGGGTATGTTCGGTGTACTTGTCGTTGGATTTAATTTTTGCTCACCCGGATATGCCCGGTGTACTTGTTATTGTTCGATCTTTTGATTTCCCAAGTATGCTCGGAGTACTTGTAACTCAATTTTGATTTATGAATTTCACATTTACCGATAGAAAAAAAAGATGAAAGATTAATGGAGGTCACAATATTTTGATAAGAATTGGTATCTAGACTCGGGAGCTACAAAGCACGTGACATTGGACGCTTCAAATTTGACAGCTAAAGAAGAGATCATGGGAAATGATAAGCTACATAGGGGAACGTAACAAACCAGGTTTGTCTACTCACATATTGGATTTCGATCACGTCATTCTAGTATTCCTTAATATCAATAGCTACATGTACCGGCAATTACCAAAAACGAAGTGTCACTAAATTTGCTCAGGATAATAGAGTTTTCTTTAGTTTCATTCTCACTGGTTCTTTGTCAAGGATCTATTTACCAAAGAAATTCTCTTGAGCGGAAAACTATATGATTCTTCTCAGATAAAAAACGGAATTCAAGTTCTTCACATCAGTCCATATCTGAATCAACTTTTAGTTCTTTTGAACCATGTAGTTTACTAAAAGAGGTCCTTTAATAGTGAAATTATAAACCTAACTACGCGACTTATTCACAGTGGCATCAAAAGTAATGATTCATTTCATTTATAACGTCCAATGATGAACAAAATAGTTTGGCGTAAAATATACTACTAAAATTTTAAATCAAAATCAATAACTAATTTAACTACAAATTTTATGGGATCAGTAACATGTTTTATCAACTTTTATAAAATTTACTAAAAATTTGATTTTAATTACACCAAATTAGGGATGGCAAAAATATCCCTCAAACCCACTACCCGTGGGGCCCTGCCCCGATTACCCACTAAATCGGGGATCAGATGCGGGGTGAGGAATTTCGCCCCCAGGCGGGAACTTTAAATCCTTGTTTGATTCTCATTCTTTTTAAAAAATATTTTTCTCTCACTTCTTTTCAATCACATTTTTTAATAAAATAATATTACAGGTAAACCTAAAAAATTTTCTTATTTTTAACCACATTTTTTATCAATCTACTATTTTAAAATGCATTATTAGGAAATAATAGGGCTCAAACAGACCTAAATAGAAAAATTCTATGAAAATTCATTAATTCTAATAGAAGATGACAACTAAAATTATCTAAGGAATATGATAAACAATAAAAATCTTAGTTTACCAAATATATTAGAATAATTTAACTTTTAAAATTTAATAAATTAATTAAACATTTTAACAACTATATTATTAACTCACTTGAATGAATGGAGGTATTAAAATGAATTATCAAAAACTATATAAAAATAAATAAATTTAAACGGTACGAAATGAAGCAATCGCCCCTCATTAAATGGGTAACGGGGTGGGTATGGAACGAAAAAATGCTCGACAGGACGGGGACGGGGGAGCTAGTCCTGTCCTGAACCTACTCAGTTGCCATCCTTCCACCAAATAGGGGCAAAGTACTCTATAACACTACAACACATGCATCGCACGTGTCAAGGCTTGGGACGAAAATAAAGTCAATCACAACCAATCTAGAATGAGGAACTTTCTAGAGAGGTTTTCGAATTTCATGCAATGGTCTCCGAGTTGTGGCCCACATGGTCATTTTAGGTTTCTTTTCCAAAAAATTAAATGAATAAAAGATATTTTGGATCGACAAAACTTGGATACTCTATTAAATAATGTATTTGTACCAACTACCCATGGACTAATCAACAATCGAATGAGACTGAAACCAAGCGAGTGCATGAACGAGGCAGGGGTTTGTAAGCTCCCTTCTGCAATCAATACTAAAGAAAGCCCTTCTCCCTTCTATTGACTTTTGTCCCAATTCGCCGAAAGCTACAATTTCATGACACTTTTCATGTGATCCAACTCATCTTACAACCCAGAATGTCGAGATAGCAAGAGGCCCCCAAATTTTCTTCTATTTTTAAATACAAATATTATCTCATTAAGATAAGTTGTTTAAAACTTGCGGCGAAACAGAACAAAGGACTACAATCAATCTAGTTCCGATCAACTTCAAGTTAATAGCATAAAAGCAAATGTATAAGCTACTTTATTTCTAACTGTAATAACCCAAGTTACAAAGTATTGAAAAGATAATGTTATATTCATAAATTAAGTGGTATGCGTGTGACAAAAGGGGTCCTACATCGATCGATATGACATCAACTAATTAATTGATTGACCTTATTTTAATTAAACAGTCATTACATTTTTCTACATATGTATGATTTTATTCATAACCAATGTATGTTTTCAAAACCCTATCCAAATCACCTCTTCCTCTCTTACACTCATATTCTCTCGTTTGGCAATTGATTTGACCGTCGAAATACAAACAATTGTCAGACATTTTTCTCAATCGACGACCTTTGCTTTTTGATGGGGTGCTTAGTGTACCGGTAATGTCTAAGCGAAGGGGATGTAGTTGAAATTTTATTGACGCATTTTTCAAGGTCAACAGATTGACATGTTTAACCATGTTCTACCACTTACAAAAAGGTCAACAGATTGGCCTATTTTTCCTGTCTGTTTCTCTAACCCCCAAAAAAAAAAATAATGTCACTACCCTTTTCCGCATCATTTACTAAAATAATGATCTCATTATTTCCTATTCTAGCAAAACCACCCATCAGAGCCATCGTTAACCATTGGTCCTTAAAGCGTATTCTCAAAATCCCTATATCTATAGCTGTAGCGGTATCTGAAAACATATCTTGAGGACGCCCTAAAGCGCTCATGGTATCATTATGAATATATAAACCAAAACTGTGAAAGCCTAGAAAGATACATGCCCAGTTGAGATGTGATATGATTGCATCACGATGTCTAAGGACACGATCTAATAGATCGTTGTATCGAGTAGTTGGATCATAGTCTTTTGACCTTTGAGGGGGAGCCTCTTGCAGATGCCTCTCTTTATAGAAGGCTCATTGGTCGCCTTCTATATTTGACTATTTCCAGACTGGACATTATGTTTGCTGTTCACAAATTGAGTCAATTTGTTGCTCAACCTAGACAACCACATATGAATGCAGTTCATCATCTCTTGCAATCCATCAAAGTTGCCCCTGGACAAGGAATTATGTTTTCAGCCTCATCCTCACTTCAGCTTCAAGCATTTACAGATGCTGACTGGGGATGATGACTGACTTCTGTATTTTCCTTGGAGACTCCATGATATCTTGGAAAGCCAAGAAACAAAGCACTATTTCCAAGTCATCTGCTGAAGCTGAATATCGTGCCTTAGCCTCAACAACAAGTGAACTCATCTGGATTCATCAACTACTTCGAGATTTTTCAGGTTGCAACCAAGGTTCCTGTTCTCATTTTCTGTGATAACCAGGCTGCCATACACATTGCAAGCAATCCAATCTTTCACGAGCGAACCAAACACATAGAAATAGACTGTGACTTTGTTCGAGATAAGGTAAATGATGGCTTTATCAAGCTGCTCCCGATTAGGACACAACACCAGTTTGCAGACATCTTTACTAAGCCCCTTCCTGCAAATTCTTTGTTTCCTTTATTGTCCAAGATGACTATCATTAATCCTCACAGTCCATCTTGAGGGGGAGTAATAGAATCCAGTTCATTCCAGCTCACTTATCCAGCTACAGCTCACATCAGCAGCTCAATTTAGTTAGTTAGTTAGGGCTGTTGGTTGCACGTGTCATCTTTGTATTGGTTGTAAATATCAGTCAGTTAGTTAGCTAAATTTCTGTTAGTGTTGATCTCTATTTATACGCCAATGTAATACATTTTCAGATTGAAGAAGTTAGTTCAATAAAGTGCATTCTTCTTCATTTTAATATATAGGAATTAAAGATTTTTGATTCCCGAACCTCGATCGACATTCTATGAATAGGATAATTCACACATTTTATCGAATTGCATCAGCTTCATCAACACCTCTATTGGAGCTGTGAGGATGTGTGCCCTACAAGCACAGTCAACATGAGAAATTGATTTACAGGCCAGAAATGTTTACTTATTAGATTCTCTATTTTGTAATGTCTGTCTCCCGCTGAACTTGGATTTTCGTTAACTGCATATCTACTACATATCAATTCATATGATTTCTTCGCGTCCCATTCCAGTACAATTTTGTACAGCCAAACCACAGTTTTATTTATCATATCATGGTATACATATTTCATTAAAGCACTACATGTGCACGCCACACACACACACACACACATTTGCGGAAGCTAGTTATATACATTTGGTTTGGAGTGATATCGTCACCACCTTCCAGAGTTCATTACTTATGTAGGGCAGCTGGTGCGGGATATCGGTGGTGAGGTTGACCATCCTCAGAATCAGGATATGAAGTTTCCGTTACCGTTTTCTGCTGCCCTTCCTCATGCTCAAGATTGAGCTTTTCGGCCATTTGAGGTGGATATGGCCCCTGGGATTTTGTCAAGCAAGAGCTCATAATCAGTAGCATTAAAACCAACAGTAAGAGCCTCTTTTTAGCCATTTTTGCAGTCTCCTGTTATGCATAAATCAATCACAATCAATTTTTAATATGAGAAAAAAATTGTTCGGGATTATTAAGCCCTATTCCTTCCATTTATAGTGGTTCACTATCTATGTGAGAGTTACCTTCGCGTATTGATCTAAGTTTTCTCATATTTCTCACACTCAAAATAAGTAGTCTTAAACCTTTTAGTAGTAGGAATATACAAATCAATCAAATATATGTAGATACCTCGATGTACTCCTGAACTCCACACAATCCAGCAGAATTTGTATATTAGGAAGCTTTAGATATTGATAATTTACATCCTCTAAATAGGATGCTTGATAAGAGCCAAGTCTAAGTCGAGTACGATGACATTCAAGGGTTTATATAGTTGTAATTTCTAATAAAATCTGCTGATGGGGTCTCCACCAAATGAGGCAAGACAAAGTGGGATGCCCTATTATGCCATTAATCAGAATGCTCAAAATGATGAAGTTGGAGGAATTTTTTTTCCTACACAGATAAATCCATCATTCAAGTGGATTGATATAAACAAACAGTCTAAGGATCACAGAAAAAACCAATGTTTCTATGTTTGGCTCAGGTTCATTAATACTCGGTCAATTTTTGTCTACTGAGATCCACAATTACTAACTATATATACTTAGGTACCAACTATTTTTAATTATTTATAATTTAAAATGTTTATAAACACTTATCAAACATGCAATTACCAAAAAATAGTGTTTTTATTTAAACAAATGCAACTAGAAAACTGTACATGCATAAAATCTTTCGTCAAGATTTCTTGTACTCAATTGGAAATCCTCACTACATGACCTAGACTCCTTTATAAAAACAGGAAACTCGCTAGTAAAACGACCATTTTGAAAACCGATGTCACGTCAAGTCAGCTCGGCACTATAAATATGGTTAAATAACAAATCAAGTCCAAACACGAATTACCCCAACAGGCATTTGTTTTTCTCGATCAATTTCGAACATATATAGAATATAGATTCTTTCTCTAATGGACAGCATTATTGACAGTACTCACCTACACTAATCTTAGGGGTTCCAATAATATTATGGCTGTTACAATTATTTATTCCTAGTGTCATACTGCAACTTGAGGATACAATTTTGGGTGAAGTCTGAAAGCACCTGCACAATCAAGAGTTGTTTTGGATATGCCTCTAGTCTAATCACAATGAAGACAAAATAGATTTCGTGTTATGGTTTGTGCTGACTGGACTTTTGAAGTTGAGTAACAAAACCATTAATCATATAAAAGTTTTGGATTTAATTAGTTAAAGTTTTTGGTTCAATGATGCGATTTTGTGTAATTGCATCCCTACAGGTTTCTGGATTTGATTAGTCAGTTTTTTGGAAACATTGATTTTGTACATTTGCAAATCTATTGAAAGATACTGAAACAACATATATTTTATTTATTTATTTACTTTATTAAAACTAAAAAATACAAGGGAGACACTATTTTCATCCATCTTACTTTTATATCCATCCACTTTAAAAAAGAAAAATATCTATAATTATATTTTTAACATTATGCAAGTTTACTTAAATAGGCAAGAATAAAAATTAAACAAAGAGAAAGATGTTTTATTACCTAGAACATGTAAAGATGATGTTTCGGGTAATGTTTAGCGCGGCATTTATACAATCAAATATATTGATGCTTGACTATGATGGAATTGTTGGAAATGGTGTTTATTAATAAACCAATTCAAAAATGAATGAGAAATTGTGGTTTTGGAATAGTGGCACCTGTTTGGAAGGTTGCATGGTTTGGCTCAAATCCTTTCATCACACCACTCCATTCTCTATATAAAGGACCCCTTGGATGACTTTGAGAGTACACCATTTTGCATATTGAGCATTCATTCTTCTCAAAATTGCAATTCTCTTCTTCTTCATCTCTTTTCATATATTATATTCCTTGTAGAGGGGAAACTCCGTCGAAAGTTCGCCGGATTTGTGGTTTGAAGTGCTACTACCACAAATCGAATCCGTTGTATCTTGGGAGACAATTGCCGCCAACCGTGAGCACCGTAGCGGGGCAATATTGTCTTAAGGAGAGAGTAAATACACTTGCCTCGGATTTAATCTTCGTTTTCTACTCCTTCTTATTTTAATTTTCTTATTTGGTTTTATGGTTTTGTACTATATTTCCATTTCATAAATTTGTGATTTAAAATGCACTCACAAA